GCGCGCATGGATGTCGGGGACGAGGGCGGCGTGCGTAGGGCGCAGACGCGTGCGATTCCGTGCACGACAAAGAGTAGCAGGGGCGGTGGATGACGCGTGCGAGACGCGCGCGCGCGAAGCCGCGCGCGACGAGGATTAGGAAACCCCGAAGGGCGGCGCGCACGCGTGACGCATATGAGGCGGCCGAATTACATGGGAGCAAGGGTTTGATTGTTTGGAGTACAAGCCAAGCAAGATCAAGATCTAGTCAATTTAGGACTTTAATATATTTAGTTTCCTTCTTGCACAAGAGTATCTAGAATGTTTAGGAAGTTAATATTTTATTGCTTTATTATGTTCCCTAGGTAGATTAGAATTAGTAGTAATTAGGATCTATAAATAGGGATCATCCCTCATTGTTTTTCATGTCGAAGAAGTGAATAGAAAAGGAACGTTTGTTCAAACCGTGTGTTAAAATTCGTGAGAGTTCGATCATGCAATCGAATTGGTGAGGCTAAGACCCGAGCCAGTTCAACGATCTAGAGAGGCTAAGACCAGATCTATTTCGAGAGTGTAGCGAGGCTAATACCCGAGTGAACTCAAGTATCGTGAGAGAGTTAGGCTAATAACTGAGTCGATCACACCTATCGTCGAGAGCAAGGCCGTGGCGAAGCCGTGATCGAGACAAGTCGAGGGAACGCAACACCCGATCCTTCATCATTGGTGCTTTCATTGAGAGTGATTGATTGGGTGTTCGTGAACTTTTTCTATCCCTTTCTTTTTTGTTTTTGGTCGATTTGGGGGTTCGAATTTCTTCGGATTTTTACCCAAAATTTTTGAATTTTTTGTCTTAAAAAAAAAAGTGTCATCTTGTTAGTCCTTTTGTTTGATTTTTTTCGGTTATTACCTTTTGTTGAAAGGGCCGAATTTCTCTTCTTTTGGGTCGAAATTTTCGAAATTCTTGTTCGAATTTTTCATTTATTTTTCTGATTTTTTAGAGTAAAAAAAAAAAGAGTCATCACGAATCGTGAGAGATTCGATACACTTGAGGAAAGCGTGAGGTCCCTTGGCAATGGACAACACGTGGTCAATGAAAACATGGCAAAGTTGGAGCTGATGATACACGACTTGGCGGGACAGCTCGAGAGAGTCAACCATCATACGCGGAGGAGCCGCACGTCAAGATCAACCATGGCGGGAACGGGCAGTTCGGCGTCTAGTCGCGATGACGACGACGAACGGTCGCGGGAAACACGCGCAACGCGCACTACCCGACACCACGGCGATCGCAGGACGCACGACCATCGGCATCATCGCAAGGAGCACGCAAGTGCGAAACCGAAGATTACGATGCCAACATTCGAGGGAGTGGATCCGGATGCATGGTTAAGTCGTGCCGTGCAATTCTTCGAGATCAATGAGGTACACAAGTCTGAAAGAGTTCAAATTGCTGCCTACTACTTGGATGGCGAGGCCAACACATGGTGGCAATGGGTGTCACATGTTTATAAAAATAAAGGCGAGCAAATCAGATGGCGCGATTTTGAGAAGGAGCTGATTGCCAGGTTTGGATCTAGCGAATACTTTGATTATGATGAGGCACTGACAAGGATCCACCAAACCGGTAGTCTACGTGACTATCAAAAGGAGTTTGAGAGGATAGCAAGCCAAGTTCGGGATTGGCCCGAAAAGGCACTAGTAGGTGCGTTTGTAGGAGGCTTAAAGGCGGAGTTGGCTGCGGAAGTACGGTTGGACAGGTCACGGTCGACAAGGGCTGCCATGGAAGCAGCGCGACTGCACGAGGATCATCTCGCGGCAGTGCGCAAGCCCCGACCGAGCGAGAGACGCACGGATGTTCGGCGCACGAGCGTCGCGGTCGACGATATGACCCCACGGGCCGAGGTCAAGCCGACAGTGAGTGAGGGTACACGCACCACTAGCAACTACCGACGTCTGACAGAGGACGAGATACAAAGGCGTAGAGAAAAAGGCTTGTGTTTTACTTGCAACGAAAAATTTACGCCAGGCCACAAGTGCAAGGGTAAGGAAATTTTTGTGTTGGAAATTGAGGAGGGACGAGAGGAAGAAAAGCCGCAGGAAGAGTCTTGGTTGCACATGGTGAAGTGCAACAAGCGTATGCCTAGGATGATCAGATTCACGGCCGAGGTAAAAGACATGTTGTTAGATGTTCTGGTGGACAGTGGGTCGAGCTTAAATTTCATCGACAAAAGGATAGCCCAAAAGCTGAAGTTAGAATCCACAAAAGTCAAGAAGTTTG